GGAAAGATTGATCGTATCAAATGCTTTTTCAAATGTATAAAAGGGCAATGAAAATGAATGACTTTTTTTTGTTTCAAATTTAGTATTTTTATGGGCGATAAGTTAGCTAATGCGCCTCATTTCTCGAATTATTTTTGTGACAGCTGACAGCAAGTCTGATTTTCAAACGAACTGGTTCATGAGATTGAATGTTAGTCATTCAAAAATTTTTCCAATATTTCGTGAAAGGTAACTTGGTCTAAAATTTTCCGGCACTTTTTTTACGCCGCTTTGATGAATTGTTACAGTTTTTGCGGTTTCGACCATGTGCGAAAAAATTAATGAAATTTATATCAAGTGGATCAGCTAGTCTTTTTTTCATGTATTTTACTGAAAATTAATTGATGTCATAGCAGTCCGAGTCATACTTTGTTTTTGATATATGAACGGCATTTATTATCCTTTGAGATTTTATCAAATAGGGTATTTTATGGTTATATGTTATTTCAAATTATGTAAAAAGCATGGTTCAAAGCAAGATTCTTCACTAGTTTTCCGTTTTTGTATTTTAAGCTTTGGCCAGTTAGTTTGTTTCGTAGAATCAAATTATTGTGATTTTTCCTATAAACCTTTTTTCGGTTATTATTTTTTTTATCAAACAGGTTTTTTTATGGTTATATGTTATTTCAAATTATGTAGCAAGCATGGCTAAAAAATGATTTTTCGCTATATTTTCGTTTGTGTATAATGAAATTTGGTCGGTTAGATTGTTTCGTAGATTCACATTATTGTGATTTAAATTATTGTGAAGAAAACTGTCAAAATGGTTTTCTAATTGGTTACGAGTTTTGTCTGTAACAGTTTTTGATATTACTTAGACAACTGTTCTAAAGTTTTTCATCTGTATTTTTTATATACAGTATGATGCGATAAGTATCAAATTGTCCTGGCTTCTGCTTTGCTTCGATTCCCTTCTGTACAAAAAGAGTCAGACTTCCACTTCTTTCGAGTCAAGTCAGTTTTTCAATTTTTTCTAGGGTATTGAATTAAAGTTAATTTTAGAGGTTATTTCAGATAACCACGTCTTAGTGAGGCAAATCACTGGTATTTTTCATTCCAAACGATCGAAGATAACTTCCATCTCATAAATTTTTGGTGGTTGAGATCATGTATTTTGAAAACAATTATTTTTCCATTTTTCAATTTTTTTTTTCAATTTTTTTTCCATTGCCAATCTTCAATCCGATAGTTCCCAACTTGGGGCCCCTCAGGCAACTTAAATAATTTAATTGATTTATTTTTTTAAAACTTTTTTTGCTTATAATTTTTCCATCGTATCAAAAAAAAAGAGAACGTAATTCAATCATAATCAGGGTTCAAACATGATTCACAGTTATCGATGATTTTTATCTTTTGGTTTGACAAAGAAAATTTTTTGGACAAAATTTTATCATTGTTTTTTTTTATTTGTACTCATCTCCCACAAAAACCAGTTATCAGTTGGTAATTAATGTTTAAGAAAGAAAAAAAATGTCATCTGAGAGTTTTTCAATTTTTAGATTCTATAAACTCAATATTTTTTACGCGCTGCCTTTTATATTCCGGCGAAATTTCTTGTACATCCAATTGATCGCTCTGTTCGTTTGAGTGCTTCTAACTTAGCCAAGTTTTTTGCATCGTGCACATTCACAAAATCAGTTCCAGTAGCTTTTGACTGCTGGCGTATTAATACGTGTACCACGCAATGGTGCGAGCTGGTGATCATCTTCAAATTTTGTGCTGCTTATTAAATCTCTGTTTCGCTTTCTAGAAGACGCTCATTTTAAACAGATATTTCAATTTTTTGGTTGCTACTGTTTTTTCCGAAGCTTACGTGCTCGGTGCACAAATTTTGTACTCAAATTGTAATAACTTGCATATGAGGAAGGCATTTTTCTTCCAAAGTCCTTGTGGTAAAGGTGGCGTGCCGAATACGCCGTATCCAGATTGAGTTGCAAATATTCCTTGAAAACGTTCACTGTCTCCTCAGTTGTATCATTTTCGTCCGTACTCGTCGAAATTTTTTTTGCAAACTTTCACTTTGTTTTTCTCAAATAAGCTGAGAAAAAGTTTAGATTTGAATTAAGTTTTATTTTCAAACGCAAACCAGGTGCCACTAATTTTTTGCACACTTTTGAACTTACACCATATTACAGTTAAGCTAGTGGCTGAAGGAAATGCAACAACAACTTTGCAACAACAACTTCCAGTTTCGAATATAATTACCCAACTTTTAAGTTTTTTCGACTGTGTTCTTCATTTGTTTTTCGATTCTTCGTCTACAACATGTATTTTGAAAACCATTTTTTTCTCTTTTCTAACGATTTAATTTTTAAAAACATCGTTTTTGTCAAACGTATTCATAATTTTTAAAAAGATGGTATTTTTTACTCGACTCTGTACGAATTCGAACGAGTGACCGAAAAGGTAATGGAAGATGGTGACCGAATAGATTTGATTGCGTCTGGTTTCTTTCCTCGAACTAGCTTCTAGCATTTATATAGCCTCCTTTTTGTCAGGAGGTTTTGTAATGTTCACCAATTACGAACGCCCATGACTGACAAACACAAAAACGAACGCACATGCTAACCTTTTCTTGAATTTGGGATAAAAATGGAGTGAAATTATTGTTTTTTTATTACAATCGCGATTAGCGCAGCATACTCTAGGAGCTACAAAACAAAACTGCAAATTAAGTTGAGGTACACCAACTACTTTAAACACTGTGCTTTTAAATATGAAACATATCCTTTTTACTTCAAAATGGACGTGAGAGGAGATGTAATTTTTTCGAAAAACGAAAAAAAATGCAATTAGCATTATGATTTTTTCATAATTATTTGAGATTCAGTTTTTTCATGGTGAACACTAAACTGTCTTGACAATCAGGGTTTACCCTGTTTGAAGTTTAGAAATCACAGAAACTGTACAAAAAAAAACTAGTCGTAGTTTTTTTGGCGCCACAGTTTTAGACAACGGCCCAAAGCGCCCTAGCTTAGGCCAACTTTAACGAGCCGCACCAAAATTTCAATTTAACGCAGATTTGGCCAGGAAAAAGACAATATCTAACAATTGACATCAAATGAGCCTCGGGTTTGTGTCATTGTGCATTGTTTCCAAGCACGGAAAGTCAAAAAAGTAAAAGTTTAATCTACATCAGATTCCTTGGAGAAATCGCAATTTTTTTACCGGGGCAATAGGAGGAACTAAAATGAAAAAAAATTGGCAAACTATCAGCAAACTAGCGTTGAAAGGCTACGGTCCCGCTCGAGGAAAGACCAGGTTCAAATCCTGATCAGAGACAAACAATTATCAGCTCAATTCGCTTTTTTTGTAAAAGTGTAGTAATTCATTGTTTGTCTTTTGAAATTACAGAGTTATCTGATGAAGAGTATTTTTTGCGCGCTCCAAGATTAATTGATTAATTGAGATGTTTGCGTCTTGATAGATTGCTCAAATTTGTAATATAGAATGGCTAATAAAAACTACAAGTTTGGGTCGAATGTTCTATGTACCAGGTTGAAATTTTCACGGACCAATTCCTGCTATGCAATTTTGTCGTTTCGTTTTCTCATCCCTCAATAAAAACTATGAAAAAAACTTCCAGTTTCTGTGCATTTATAACAGAAAGATTGGACAACAATGTTAGACAACTTTTACAAAAAAATTGTCTCGGTGTTTTTTTTGCAAACTGTCTCAGTTTTTGTATTTGTTGCCGTTTTGATTGTTATGATAAAAAGCCTAGAACTCCGGCGTTTTTGGCCTTATTTGATGCATTCGATAACAGCTGTCAACCAAAAGTGGGAAAAAAATTATAAATCACAAAAATGTAGAAAATTTGACACTCATTTTTTGTCAGAAATTTTTGATTTTGTTTGCCTAAGGTTTGAGTCACAAAAAGCCACTGAAAAAAACTTGAAATTGTATTTGTTGAATAAAACACACTTTTGCGGCTGAACTCGAGTAATAAGTTTTTTATAAGCCTGCTTGCTGGCGTGAATCCTTCGAAATGTGACTCAAAGTTTGCGCCAATTTTAATTGACACAGAAAATGTTTCGGTGTTTTGTCGTTCAAATCATGGCTGAAAGGTCGTTAAAATAAAATTTGTTTTTTCACCCAATCCGATGATGACTTCTTGAGTCTGAATTCGCTTTTACTGAATTCAAGTTAGCTGAATCAAAGGTCGTAGCCACTCAGCATTTGGATTTTTTGCCTGAGGCTTTATTTACTAATGAACGATGCATTCTAACTGCATAGTTTTTTTGTAGCCTCGACATCAACTTTTGGCAATTTAGTTAATTTTTTGAGAAATGTTTTTTGTTCATTTTGAAGCAATAAATTGAAAAATAAAGGTTTATTTGAGTTTGTAACTTTGAGAATCGATTGAGCTTCACCAGTTTTCAAATGTCGCCTTAGCAATATACATTACGATGTCACGAAACATAAAAACATATTTTTGTGAGATGTGAGCGGATTCTGCAACAGGTTAAAAACAGAATTCTGCGAGAGGGATAATTTACTATTCTATTTGCTGTTTTGAGTTCCACAATAAAGTTTCTTTGACGACTCTATCGCTGAAAAATCGCCCCAAAAGCAGTCGTATTCGCAAAATCCGCAACAAAATTTACAGAGTTCATAATAAATTGCAAATTCCATAAACATTACTATATTATAACTTTGCGGAATTCTATAACTTTGCAGAAACCGCTAGGATTTTGTGAAAATCGCTGAAACTTGCGGAATCTAGAGCAACCTTTTAGAATCCGCGTCACAATTAATGTTCCGACAAACTTTACCTTGCACGATATTTCTGCGCGTTATTCACGGAAAAATTTTAAATGGTATACACTTAAAATTTGCAACGTATTTAAAGATTTGCCTCTGTATTTCAATGAGCTACACACACCAAACGGTGCGCCTATCCAGTGCACAGTTTGACCTCGTTATGAAACTTTTGGATCAATTATTGTTACCTTTTGCAGGGTGGAAAAATCACGTACATGTGTTGGGCCACAGACAGAGATTTGTTCACGGGGGATGAGAGCGGTGTGGTGACAGTTACTAGAGTTCAAAGCAAGAGTCTCTTGACTGGAACATGTCAACAGCTATTCAAACTCAGCTCAACTGTCGTCCAGATTGACTTCCTTGGTTCGCACTACAACCTATTTATTTTTGACCAAAGTTTCTGACCTAAATAGATGATTTTTTATCCTCACCTCAGCTTCTTTGTCAATGCCTCAACATTATAAAGGATTTTGTCGTTTGCAGCGCCTATATTGCTTGTTTCGACCTACACTACAATCGCCCTGTCCAATGTCAGCCGACAAGTGTTCCGGGAGATCCCCCTCGACAAGAACGGGCACTTCGGGGCTGTGCTGAAAGTGGTGGACAAAAATGCCACCTTCCTCTCAGAAGCTGTGCGAGAGACTTACTTGAAGGTATTGATATCAAATTTTCTCTCGAAAAATTTACATTTTGAAACTCAATTTTCATTTTTTTTTCAATCATCTGAATGGCTGAACTATAATGAAAGTCATTTTTGCAATTTCGTAAGGATAAAAATTCTCTATTGAAAGTAAGGAAGGAATTGAAGAAAGCTGACGCTATTTCTAAAAAAAAATTGACAGCCTCAGAACAGATGAGAGTATCACAATCTTGGGAAAAGGGATCGGATCTCTTCAACAGCCACTTGAGCAGAGCTGGTCTAAAATTAAAATTTTTCAAAAGGGGACCCCAAAAAACGCAGTTTTGAAAAAGTTTTTTTAATCATGCAGTTTTTTGTGTCTAATTGTGGCATGGATTTCAGGAACGCTTTGACAATATTTTTGATTAACTTTCTGAAATTTTTCGAGATTCTACCGCTCTCCTCGACAACTTCTCGAATTTGTAAGAAATTGCTCAAAAAATTCTAGCATGTGGTTGTTAGGTTTTGAAGTTTTTCTGAAAAAATCTTATTGATTCCTATAAGTATATTTAAAAAGCCCTTCATTTTAGGGTTATCGCCGTTTTTCTTCAAAAACATGAAGGCAAAAGTTCAGATTTTTCTGTATTTGTACCATTTTTTGGGACACTGACCCGGTTTGACTTTCATTGAAAAAAATATTCATCATGCTAGTCTATGCGAGTCCATGATGCTGTTATGGAAAAAAAATTATCAAAAACGTTCCTTTAATGTAATTTGTACAAGCCCTTTTTTTCTTATAAAGTTAAAATCTTGAGAAATCCTCTCAAGTTGTTTTTACGTATTTTCAAATGGTTAGTTGCCGTTTTTCATCACGCATAAGTATTTTTTATTCAATTTAGTATTTTTTCTTCAATGAGTAATTTTTCAAGTTTTGTTTTGCATCGAAAAAGTGCTTGCAAACAACTTTCACCTATGAAATCTGTTTTGTAAGAATTTTTTCTTACAACAATCAAAATCGAGAAAAATCAGTCATTGTGTCCGTTTAAAAGTTCTCCACTCAGAGATACAGTTTTCAAAAAACTCTTAAGCACAAAAAAATTTCAAGAAATTTATTGAAAAATGTCGTTTTTGAAAAAACAAAGTTCAGAAAAAGTATTTTTCAGTGAAGTAAGAACTGTCAATAGAAATAGTATAAGCCAAGATTTGCTCAAACAAATAGACCATTAGCTCAATCAAGACTATTCTCAAAAACAGCGACCCACAAAAACAAAACAAAAATTTTATCATAAAAATGCAGTTGGTTTAAATGACATGGATATCTCGGTATGCAAGTTTGTGGGAATAGTTTTGCCATTTCAACTATAGAGTTCGAGGTTGTTTTTCCTTTAAGGCATAACACAATTAATGTAAAGCGCAGCAAAAAAATTGTTTATTGTTTTCATCTATGGAAAAAACGAATGAATATTTTTATCGAAAAACTGTCTGTCACACATTCCCAATTTCCCAAGAAAACTGCTAAATAAACTCATTTTTTTACATTTTTTTTGGTGTATGGACCTGTAGAAAGCTTGTATTTTTAGCTTTTTCCCATAAATTGAAGTTGAATAATTAGGAGTTTTGGTCACTCATTGGATGATCATAGAAAAAACATATTTTCATCTGAATCGTTTTTTGTAAACTATGGGGGTCTGATAGAAAACATTTTGACTATTTTGGCATAATTAATGTGTCCTTTTTCTAAACATTGCCAGTAAATCGCATAAGATATCACTAGTTAGACAGTCTTAGAGATTACACCAAAAAAGCTATGAAAAAGTTCTTCCACCTTTTCCTTAAAACCTACCAACCCTTAGAACTTTTAAGTTAAAAAAAATTGCGAAGCAAGAAGAATACACTAATGGGGCAGCAATTGGGGTGAGGATGCTTTTCTTTATTTTTGTTCTATCATACTTTTTCTCAGGCATGACTTGCTTGCATCCTTCTTAGCATAACATAAATCGAAAAAAAACACATGGCTAAATAGGACTCGAAACACAACTAAGCTGGTTTTGTTTTTTTTCGCTGTTTTTTCGCTAAGTTTTTTTTCATGTTGCTTTTAGTGTTTGAGTTACTCCTACAATTTTTTTTCTTGTTTTGAATTCGTATTTTCTGTTTCGGTTTTTCGTTTTGATTAAAAGTTTTTTTCGGCCCAAAATATTTTGGCCCTTTTTTCATCGGCTTAGTGACTCTAACGCAAATCTACAAACAAAAGCATGCGCTTATTCAAACACTGTTTAAAACACTCTCGAAAATTGTTTCAATTAGAACTGAGGTAGCCCTGATGGTCCACCTAACGCTTGCTGACAAGAAATAAACTGTTCTGTTTTCAGCATGGCGCTTATAGTTTTTCAGAAAATCTCTTATCATCTACTATAATAGGTGATTTTCCCTGATTTTGTCAAAATTCTGTCAATTCAAAGTGTATTTCAATTATATCCTTGAGTTAATGTTTTTTTTGTCAATAACAAAAACTCCAAAGTTGGATGTGTTGTTAGACTTTGGTTTATCAGAACGCAGAAAATTTCCATAAAAAAAAGTGTTATAGACATCCATCCCGTTATATTACTTAAAAATTCCCGCAGTCGTTGAAAAATAATTTTTCCGAAAAAAATTTGAAGCTAAAACAAAGTGCTGGCATTTTAGTGGTTAAAAAGCTACGACGTTGCATCATGAAACAAATTTAATTCAGAAGAACTGGTATATTGAAAACGTAACGTGATAAGCTTGAATTGATTTGAAAACTACTGAAACAATTTTGGCACTTTTTACAGAAACCAGCCGCGAAACGCTTAAAATATAGGTAATTCAGATGCCAGATCGAAGACAAAATGTGCAAACAAAAAAGATTGTTTTCAATTATTATCGGCTGGTTACAGTACATGGAAAAAAAAGATGGTTTAATAATCGATTAAAATTGATTGAACTGTTGTATAGTTGATTAAAATTTGTTTTGAAAAGGAGAGAGATTGATTAAATTTTAGTAAATTAGGATAGAATTTTCTCTCAATTTTAGTAAGATTGATACTAATGTCATAAGTTAATTAACTCAAGTATTAACGCTTGAAAGTGGACACAGTATAAGCTTTATTTATACGGTTAAATTGCATTTTTTAATGGTGTGATTGGTATGATTTTGAAAAGTATGGTTATCTAGAGCTCAAAAAAATATTTAGAGATATTTCACCTATGATAATTTTTTTGTAAAATTTTGGGGGCTCAGATTGCCAATTGACTTATTTGGGTTCTTTAACGCGATATTCTTTAAGCTGAGATTTAAAGAGATTTTGGGTTCTTTAAGCGGAGATCTATTCATTTAAGTAATTGTTTTACATTGAATTGAGGCATGCTGTTTGGTCTAAAAAATACTTTGCTGAATGCAAATTATATAACTTTGTGTTTTACGTAGCTTGTGGGGGATTATTTTGAAAGAAAAAAGTTGAAAATTTGCCTTTTTTAAAAAAAAGTCGAGCATTACTCTATAGGCCTAAAAAGACAATGTTTCAATTTAACTACCAATTTTAACTACTTCTTTCATTTTAACTACCAATTATAGTTGCTCCTACTTTCGAAGAAAAAGCGGAACATTTATTATGCATTGTAAATATTTTCAGGCAGTGTGTGCTGGTCCAGATGCAATTGTGTGGATTGTGAATGTGGAGTCCTATGAAACAGAGAGAGCGTACTGTTTCAAGGGACTAGTGTTGGAGAACATAGAGAAGACAGCAGAACAGGCGACAACAGAAGCGGCTGAATCAAAACGGTAACACCCATTCAATTTGACCCATGTAAACAATCTCCCAGAACCACCCCCCCCCCCCACCCCGCCCCTCCTTCCCCCTCCACAGGAAAACTTCGGTCACCAAACTTCAAATGCAAAATTTATAATTTATACTAACATTAAATTTCAAATGTGGCCCAAACCAAAGATGGCCGAATAATTTTTTAGTGCTTACTTTTTAAAATATACATTTTACCGGCGAAAATTAAAAATAATAATGATAATTACTGCAAAATTACTGGAAATCAATACTTCAATATTGTAATATCAATGGAAAGCAAAAATTCCTGTTCAGGCATAGAGGCAAAACTTTCTTACTGCTATGACGAATCTTTTTTTGGTCTCCCTGTTTAGCATTTGATTTCTTTCTGATTTGTTTTCTAAGTATACAGAAATTCAAAACTAATGATACAATATATAGCATATATCGGAATCTTTGTTTTTATAGAAACGGTCTAAACATACCAAACGGAGTTGCAGTTCTTCCCAACAACGAATCCAGTTTAGACGAAGTCAACTTGAAATCAGTTGACGAAAGTCAACTTCAACTAAGCATCCGAAGTAACGCAAGCATCACAAGCAGTAACGCGAGTTCGAAAATATCCAAGAGACAACACTTAACTTTAACACAGTTGTTCAATTACGGAAAAGGGTTGGTGTTAGCCGAAAGCAGCGGAGGCTTCGGATGTGTTGTTATGGATTTGTTCAACAAGAGTGTTATGGTGTCAGGAAACATTCTGCTAAGTGGTCATCCCTGTTTGGAGATGTTTGTTCACGCCAAGCAGAAGTTGGTCACTATTTTTCAAACTTCAGGTTGGTTTACTTCAGTTTAGACTGAAAGCAAGTGATCAATAAATGAAAAATAACTCGAGTTGCTCTTAAAAAATTCTGTACTGTTCAAAGTGCTGTTCAATATTAAATTATTGCGCCAGAAAATCTCACAACTTACAAGCTCGTTCACTAATATTGAGTTTATTAAATGTGAAATACACGTAAAAATGGTTGGAAAAAATCAACCATAAAAAAGAATGGACACTATTGCTACCCTAAGCCCGCAACGCTATACTGTGCTTATTGCACAGATATCAACCAATTTAGATTTTTTTTTGATATTGAAAGTAAACTGGAACTGGTATCGTTGACAAGTTCTAGACGGTTACGTCTCAAATGGCATAACTCCCAAATGGAATAAAAAAGAAAAATTTCCCAAATGGCATAAATTTCATGCAATAGTTGCATTTAGAAAAAAACGAAATAAACTTTTTCGCGAGCAATGAGCGAAAATTGGTCAAGTTGTCAATTCAAACGCTGATTGACATTTTATCTTGAAAAAATTGGAAAATAAAAAGCGAAAAGCATAAGCTTGCTGTTATTGTTAAGCTTCTTGTGGTCAATTGTCGCTTAACATTTGTTTGGAAACAATTAATTCCTAATTTTGTTCTCATGTTTTCCTTCCTGACAAAATGTTAGAATTCGAAATTGAATAAAAAAAAACGTTTGAAATACAATGAAAACTTGACATTTTTGGGAAAAGTTTCATTTTTTTGCCAATTGCGAATTATGCCATTTGGAAAGTTACCGTTCCAGTCTACATTAAAAAAATACCAACAGTTCATTATTTCTAATCGAGATGACGGGTCGGGGAATTTTTTCTCAGCCATGTCAACAGAAATGTGTCCAATGAAAAAATTTTTGAATAGTTTTTATTTTTGATAGATAATCTTGAGTACAAGCCTTGAGTCTGATTCCGTTTAAAATCTAATACAAAATTATTTTACAAATTTTACAAATGATTTTTTTGTTAAGATAATACAATTTTTTATTGTGAATTTTTGTAATTTTTGTTGCAGGAATGCTGAGCACTTTTTTGATTCAACCGACCCACAAGATGCTGAAAAACACCTGTGCCAACCCGCTTTACAGAGCCCACTGTGCCCGACTGATAGTACAGAACCCCAGTACAGCTTGCAACTACTTGAGCCAACAGGAAATTGAGCAAGCAGCTGATGCGCTGGAAGAAGATTCGGGGGAGAAAGAAAGTGATGTAGTCTTACAGGTTGGCAGAATTTGAAAATTGACTCAAAAAATACACCCCTCCACCCACCCTGTACTGAGATTCAGTATAATTTTGAGGGGTGAAGGTTGGATTATGATTTTATACTACGCATCTGAAACTAGTGCAGTGCAATGTAAAATTTATTTCAAATTTCATTTCAAAAAGGTTTGCCACAAAAAGCCCTAAAAATTCCGAGTGCCTTTCAAGGTATATGGCTCGAAAAACAACATGAAAAAATTAAATGCAAAAAAAATAAAATGAAAAAAATTGAAATTTAATATTTTTTTTTGAAAATCATCATTCCACACGCCATACAAAGTACAAAGTGATAAATCTCGATCCTAGCAACAAATCAATTATGACAAATAAGCTTCTTTACTAAAAGTAACGTTGGGTTCGATTGATAGATCTCTTGGTTTCAATTAGTAACTAAAATTATAAGCCTCAGTTAAATTATATCATAGATCATAGTCGATCTGGTCCTAGAGTTAAAATGATATTGTTAAAAAACAGATAAATAAAAAGGATGATTAAATAAGTATAGATTAGTTATAAATGGATGAACAATTGTCTTAAATACCAAAATAGGTTTGGGGTTTTTAGATTAAGTTACATTTATTTAAATTAAAGGAAAACATTAAAATATTACCTCTGTCAATTCTGGAATGTTATGTTTTCAAAAGTACTTTTTTTTAAAAAATTTTTTTATAAAAAAGGGAAAATCATTCTACTCGACTGAGAAAAATAAAAATTCTGAAGTTTCAGATTGATTTATTTCTCACCTATTTGGCTGAGACAAATCTGCACCTGCAGTCTAGGCTTCAAACTTCATTTTCCCCCTCTTCCTCATACTCTTGATAAAATTGACATTTGCAACTTATTGATTTTTTTTGCAAAAAAAAATCAATATTTGAAAAGATTAGGGCAATTTATCAGTGTTGCATCTGCCTTAATAACTAAAAATTCAAAATTTTTTGTTAGGATCGCAAAAGAACTGGGGGCTTTGTCGCCGCGCTGTCTGTTTTTTATGGCAAAACACTAAATCAGTCCGCCCAACTTGCGACACACTTGTTTTGAATATCCAGGCCAAAAGTAACAAAAAAAAATAGGTCGAATCTTAAAATAATTATTCAAATCGGAAGGATATTTAAAATGTTAGAAAACTAAATTAAACTATAAGTTAGTGTACTATTTGCAATACTACAACTCACCCCCTTTTTAGATATAAAGTTGTCCGGTACACACAATTACATTGTAATGAAGTTATTAATTCAAATGATCAATTTTTTTTGGCAAGAGTTTGATAATGAAATGACACTTAAAATTTAAATGTTGTCTTTGATTTTTTCTGTGGAACAATGCACTTTCTGTCACTTTCAGTTCCTTCTATCAGGATGTATTCATTCGTTTTTTTCTCAATTTGACTTCTGGAATGTCAATTGGACTTAATCGCAGTCCTCCCTGTTCTGATGTTTGTGGTAATCGGCATTATCGAATCTTGATCGCAACCATGTTGCTGGGGTTCTGCTTCTGACAATCATAAATGCAATGGAACCTTTATTGTTCCTTCTTATGCTGACTTCGTCCTTGTCTTGTTTATTTAAAAGCTTACAGCTTTTTACCGGTTTGCACTCCGTTGTTAGAGATCATTTGAATAGTAAGTTTTTTGTAGCTTACAGAATCAGATAAAATAGGAATTGTGTGTCGTACACAAATGAAGTAAAAAAGTAATTTTTATCAGACAAGTAATTTCGAAATTGGTAATTATTTTGTCCTACTTGTTAAGTGTTTTCTCTGTTATGGGTATACTTGTTTCATTCACAAACCCACCACAGTGAAAAATAGTGAAGAAAAGTTGATGCTTTGATTAGCCATCGGTTACAGAAATTGTTTCTTCGTGCACTCATTATTAGACATGTCTTTAGAAAGTGTCATTTTTAGACATGTCTTTAAGACTTACAATGCAGTTTGTCAATACGATTGAAAAATTAAACTTTGAAAAACACTTGAAAGCAGAAAAAAGAGAATAAGTAAAAAAGAGAATATGTAAAATAGAAAAAGGAGAATAAGTAAACTAGAAAAAGGAGTATAATTATGAAAACTGTTACAATTGAACAAGTATTAACCTTTTTATTGGAAAAATCAAATTGATATATTTTGTTTCATGTTGATTCACAAAAGCATTGATAATTTGAGAGTTTTGAGAGCTTGTGTTATCAATTGGGCAATTGGGATTGCTCCTCCATTGAAATTATCAAGTTTTTTATAATAAAGAACCAATCTTGATTGTTCTGGGAAAATATAAATCATATTCACTCTTGCAAGTACATGGTCGACTTCAAATAGGATTGATAAACGAGCACGAAATTGATATCCATTGCTAGGCAGAATATTGTCTTAAGAAAAATGTATCTCGAGTACCTCTCGATATATATCACACTTTCATCAGCTATTCAATTCAGCTTTTGAATGGCAGCTATATCAAACAATATGCTTATTTTATTGTAGAAAAAATGAATGGTTACACTGGTGACAAATAATTTTTTCTGAAGTCTCACGTGGACTTTTTGTTTGAGATTAAATTAATTTAAAAAAAAATATCCAACTTTTTACTAGGTCTCAATGATCTGTGATTTTAACAAATTTAACCAAAGTGGTAAGTCTTTGAGCAAATTGAAATTTAAAATGTTTTAATGGAAACTTATATCCCATGAGCTTTTAGATGCTAAATGATGCCATGCTTGCGCGAGTTAAAATGATATTGTTAAAAAACAGATAAATAAAAAGGATGATTAAATAAATATAGATTAGTTATAAATGGATGAACAATTGTCTTAAATACCAAAATAGGTTTGGGGTTTTTTTGATTTGTTACATTTATTTAAATTAAAGGAAAACATTAAAATATTACCTCTGTCAATTCTGGAATGTTATGTTTTCAAAAGTACTTTTTGTTTTTTTTTAAATTTTTTTATAAAAAAGGAAAATCATTCTACTCGACTGAGAAAAATAAAAATTCTGAAGTTTCAGATTGATTTATTTCTCACCTATTTGGCTGAGACAAATCTGCACCTGCATTCTAGGCTTCAAACTTCATTTTCCCCCTCTTCCTCATACTCTTGATAAAATTGACATTTGCAACTTATTGATTTTTTTTTGCAAAAAAAAATCAATAATTGAAAAGATTAGGGCAATTTATCAGTGTTGCATCTGCCTTAATAACTAAAAATTCAAAATTTTTTGTTAGGATCGCAAAAGAACTGGGGGCTTTGTCGCCGCGCTGTCTGCTTTTTATGGCAAAACACTAAATCAGTCCGCCCAACTTGCGACACACTTGTTTTGAATATCCAGGCCAAAAATAACAAAAAAAAATGAGTCGAATCTTAAAATAATTATTCAAATCGGAAGGATATTTAAAATGTTAGAAAACTAAATTAAACTATAAGTTAGTGTACTATTTGCAATACTACAACTCACCTCCTTTTTAGATATAAAGTTGTCCGGTACACACAATTACATTGTTATGAAGTTATTAATTCAAATGATCAATTTTTTTTGGCAAGAGTTTGATAATGAAATGACACTTAAAATTTAAATGTTGTCTTTGATTTTTTCTGTGGAACAATGCACTTTCTGTCACTTTCAGTTCCTTCTATCAGGATGTATTCATTCGTTTTTTTCTCAATTTGACTTCTGGAACGTCAGTTGGACTTAATCGCATTCCTCCCTGTTCTGATGTTTGTGGTAATCGGCATTATCGAATCTTGATCGCAACCATGTTGCTGGGGTTCTGCTTCTGACAACCATAAATGCAATGGAACCTTTATTGTTCCTTCTTATGCTGACTTCGTCCTTGTCTTGTTTATTTAAAAGCTTACAGCTTTTTACCGGTTTGCACTCCGTTGTTAGAGATCATTTGAATAGTAAGTTTTTTGTAGCTTGCAGAATCAGATAAAATAGGAATAGTGTGTCGTACACAAATGAAGTAAAAAAGTAACTTTGATCAGACAAGTAATTTCGAAATTGGTAATTATTTTGTCCTACTTGTTAAGTGTTTTCTCTGTTATGGGTATACTTGTGTCATTCACAAACCCACCACAGTGAAAAATAGTGAAGAAAAGTTGATGCTTTGATTAGCCATCGGTTACAGAAATTGTTTCTTCGTGCACTCATTATTAGACATGTCTTTAGAAAGTGTCATTTTTAGACATGTCTTTAAGACTTACAGTGCAGTTTGTCAATACGATTGAAAAATTAAATTTTGAAAAACACTTATGAAAGTAGAAAAAAGAGAATAAGTAAAAAAGAGAATATGTAAAATAGAAAAAGGAGAATAAGTAAACTAGAAAAAGGAGTATCATTATGAAAACTGTTACAATTGAACAAGTATTATCCTTTTTATTGGAAAAATCAAATTGATATATTTTGTTTCATGTTGATTCACAAAAGCATTGATAATTTGAGAGTATTGAGAGCTTGTGTTTTCAATTGGGCAATTGGGATTGCTCCTCCATTGAAATTATCAAGTTTTTTTATAATAAAGAACCAATGTTGATTGTTCTGGGAAAATATAAATCATATTCACTCTTGCAAGTACATGGTCGACTTCAAATAGGATTGATAAACGAGCACGAAATTGATATCCATTGCTAGGCAGAATATTGTCTTAAGAAAAATGTATCTCGAGTACCTCTCGATATATATCACACTTTCATCAGCTATTCAATTCAGCTTTTGAATGGCAGCTATATCAAACAATATGCTTATTTTATTGTAGAAAAAATGAATGGTTACACTGGTGACAAATAATTTTTTCTGAAGTCTCACGTGGACTTTTTGTTTGAGATTAAATTAATTTAAAAAAAAATATCCAACTTTTTACTAGGTCTCAATGATCTGTGATTTTATCAAATTTAACCAAAGTGGTAAGTCTTGGAGCAAATTGAAATTTAAAATGTTTTAATGGAAACTTATATCCCATGAGCTTTTAGATGCTAAAT